CCCTGGGCTATCCCAAAATGGAGGGTTCGACAAGTGAGGACGAATCCTCTTCCTCATCAAACGGCCTAAGTTCGGTGGTCTTAGGCAAACGTGTAAGAAAAGAGAAAGGGTTAGCACTGTGTAAGTTAAGAGCATGGTGGTAATTATTCAGGAAAAAACCTCACCATGAGAACGAGCCTCCCATTTTCCCTTCGAAAGCTTGCACCATGAGTGCTCGGAGTATGACACGTGCTTTCAAATCCCCTCGATCCACTCTTTGAATTGGGTTATTGCATTAGGAAATTGGGCACCAACTGCATGACAACAAACGCAGGCAATGAGAGAATGAATAAAAAGAAGTGAATACTCGAGGAAGGCAATACTTACGAGAGGCGTTCCATTTCTCGGGGAACGGAAGAAACTTGGGAGGGATTAGGTCTTCAGTTTTTACCCAAACGAACCTCCCCTGCCAGCTTCAGTCTCGGTCCTCGTCGATGCTCGAGAAAGGAGCCTTGATTGCTTGGCAAACGATCTTGTCAGCCCCTCTCGGAAAATTCGGGACTATATAGGCGCAGTAGATGGTCGAGGGTGAACCAAGGGGCTTCGGTATTGTTCACGAAATGGCGTAAGAGGATCACGATCCTCCAAAAGGACGGGAGGATTTGCCCAAGGCACACCTCGTACCTTTTGCAGAAAGCAAGAACTATGGGGTCTACCGGGGCGAGCGTGAAAGGGTAAGTGTAAACACTTAAATATCCCTTCACATGGGTAGTGATGTCGTCATTGGGCCCGGGGACAACCACATCCTTACCCTCCCATTTGCAGTCCGCTCGGACTATGGGAATGGTTTCTTTGGTGACAGAGAATATATATCTCTATGCTCACTCGCCCCGGTCCTCGTCGATGCTAGATAAAGGAGCCTTGCTTGCTCGGCAACCGAGCTTGATCAGCCCCCTTGAAAATTCAGGGACTGTATAGGCGGAGTAGATGGTCGAGGGTGAACCAATGGGCTTCGGTATTGTTCACGAAATGGAGTAAGAAGATCACGATCCTCCAAAAGGACGTGTAGATTTGCCCAAGGCACACCTCGTACCTTTTTAAGAAAGAAAAACATATGGGGTCTACGGGGGCGAGCATGAAGGGGTAAGTGTAAACACTTAAATACCTCTCACATGGGTGGTAATGTCGTTATTGGGCCCAAGGACAACCACATCCTTACCCTCCCATTTACAGTCCGCTCGGACTATGGTAAGGTTTCTTCAATGACAGAGCATATATATCTCCACGCTCCCTCGCCTCGGTCCTCGTCGATGCTTAAGAAATGAGCCTTGCTTGCTCGGCGAACGAGCTTGATCAGCCCCCTCGGAAAATTCGGGGACTGTATAGGCGGAGTAGATGGCGAGGGTGAACCGAGGGGCTTCGGTATTGTTCAGAAACGGCGTAAGACGATCACGATCCTCCAAAAGGACGGGTGTATTTGCCCAAGGCACACCTTGTACCTTTTGCAGAAAGCAAGAACTATAGGGTCTACCGGGGCGAACGTGAAGGGGTAAGTGTAAACACTTAAATACCCCTTTACATGGGTAGTGGTGTCGTCATTGGGCCCGGGGAAAACCACATCCTTACCCTCCCATTTATAGTCCGCTCGGAATATGGGTAAGGTTTCTTCAGTGACCGAGCATACATATCTCCACGCTCCCTCGCCTCGGTCCTCGTTGATGCTCGAGAAAGGAGCCTTGCTTGCTCGGCAAACGAGCTTGATCAGCCCCCTCGGAAAATTTAGGGACTCTATAGGAGGAGTAGATGGTCGAGGGTGAACCGAGGGGCTTTGGCATTGTTCACAAATTGGCGTAAGAGGATCACGATCCTCCAAAAGGACGGGTGGATTTGCCCAAGACACACCTCGTACCTTTTGCAGAAAGCAAGAACTATGGGGTCTAGCGGAGCGAGCGTGAAGGGGTAAGTGTAAATACTTAAATACCCCTTCATGTGGGTAGTGATGTCCATTTGGCCTGGGGACAACCACATCCTTACCCTCCCATTTACTGTCCGCTCGGACTATGGGTAAGGTTTCTTTAGTGACAGAGCATATATATCTCCGCGCTCCTTCGCCTCGGTCCTCGTTGATGCTCGAGAAAGAAGCCTCGCTTGCTCGGCGAACGAGCTTGATCAGCCCCCTCGGAAAATGGGGGTACTGTATAGGAGGAGTAGATGGTCGAGGGTGAACTGATGGGCTTCGGTATTGTTCACGAAATGGCGTAAGAGGATCACAATCCTCCAAAAGGACGGGTGGATTTTCCCAAGGCACACCTCGTACCTTTTGCCGAAAGCAAGAACTATGGGGTCTACCGGAGCGAGCGTGAAGGAGTAAGTGTAAATACTTAAATGCCCCTTCACGTGGGTAGTGATGTCGTCATTTGGCCCGGGGACAACCGCATCCTTACCCTCCCATTTATAGTCCGCTCGGACTATGGGTAAGGTTTCTTTAGTGACAGAGCATATATATCTCCGCGCTCCCTCGCCTCGGTCATGTTGACTAGAGGCCTTCTCGATGTTGAAGTCATTCCCGATGGAGCAGCCCCCAGGTACGAAGCTCTTCATAGGGGGCTCCTGAGCCACTTCGGGAATGGCCACCTCGGCATCTGTGGCCGGGTAGGAAGATGAAGGAGCGGCCTGCTGAGGCACTAACTTGTAGGTTTTTGCCATTGTAATCTGGAAAATATGAAGGTTTGAAGAAGAATATGAAGGTTTGAAGAAAATATGAAGATTTGAAGATGGTGTGAAGGTATGAAGGTCTGGGTTGATGGCTCAAAGAAAATGTATGGGGATTGAAGATGAAGATATGAAGGTTCAAAGGGCAATGTATGAATATTTGGAGAAGTTAAAAGCTGTTAGAGAGTTCGAGGGTAAAATCCAGAATCAGAAAGTGGAAGAAGTGAAAAAGGTCGAACATTTTGTAGGGAAAAAACAATCAATGCGCGACGTTTCGCATTCGAAGGCAGCCAGCCGGTGACTGACACGTGTCCGAAGTCAGAACGACGCGACTGATGGGACGTTTTGATTTACCCGTCATCTCAGTTGTAACGTACGAAGGAAGGAAACATGGTTCATCTATCGTTTCCCATCGTTTCGGCAAACCTACTCTCCGGAAAACGAGGGGACTCTCTGTATACGGGCAAAATCGGGGATAATTCATACCCCAATTTTCCGTTGAAGAAAACAGAAAAAGGGAATGGACGCACGAGATTGAAATTGAGGCTGGGAGCCATTCGTATCGAGATCCATGAGAGGTGAACGGCGTGCTCATCATTGGGCCTGATAAAGCGACGCACCCCGGAACTAGGACGAGTTCTAAGACCTCGGGAAACACGGTAAACGGTTACACACGACGGATAGAGGGCCGTGATATTCGCACCCAACCGGATATCACGTCTCAGATCTCGCTCGATGTCGGTTACGGATCAGTAATTGACGATCAAGGAAGATATTTACCTTTTTAGGATGAAACTCTCCTATTATATAAAGAGAAAATTTTTCTTTTGTAAAATACATGGTAACACGCAAATCAAAGCAATACAAATCTATTTTCTACCTTTTAGCTACTGTTAAAGTCATTGTTTACTAACCTGTTCTTCATTCACAACTGAGCTCGAATCGAGAACGAGGTCATTGTTTGATCTAAGTTCAGGCTTGGCCATAACGTTACAATTGGTTTGGTCGTTTATTTCGTCTTTAATTTATTTATCTAATATACTTAACTGTTTGTGTTGAATCAAATCACGTATCCTTAAAATCGCATACAAATTTAATTGTTATCCGATTTACGAGTAAACAATCATAATAACAACATGAGAAATGATAATGATGATAGAAGCATAAATCTGTGTCTGAATTTACTAATTAAGTCTATCTTTAATGTTAACTCATAAAACATGGACTCCACTTTTATAGTTTTTGTCCCTCTTGTTAAATTCCTCGTGTGAGTTTACACCTACACATGAATATCTTCTTGGGCATCAATTAATTCCCATCGCCTTATCTTAATAGACCAATATTCAAGCAAGAGAGACAACTTTTACTGGTTTAGTAGTGGGGGTCAACTAATACCTCTTCCTAGATCTGCTTAAGACACGTGCTCTAACCAATTCATATAATAGTCATCAATGCTCATATGTTTGAACTTTGACCATGTCCTGCTTTGAATTAATTAGCAGTTTTGATGAACAACTCATTTCCACCTCTATTTATTGATTCTCCCCACACCTAAGGTCCTTCTCCTTATTACTACAGTAAGTGACTAAGTGTTATAGTAAAGTGGTAAATATTTTTTTATCCTTAATTAACCATATGTTCTTGGCTTAAGCTTTGAGTAGATTTGTTTTTATAAAGAGTACTTTATCTTCCGAAGTTAAATTTTAATTCTCGATTTGAATCTAAATTAATCGAGCCCAAAGCAATAGAAAATTAAAAAAAAACATAATAACGTAGTCCTCCTTTAATTGGTGTCTGTTGTAGTTTTCACATTCTTATAATTGCCTTATACAGAAATTAAGACTTTAGTGAGTTTTATTTGCTAACGGTGTAGAAAAGTATTTGTAAAATATTCATATTACGTAGAAAGTAATTAGAAATAATTTTATAACAGAAATTAATTAATAACCTAATAAAAATGATAGTAGTAATAACTAAGTGACATTCACATATTTCTAAATTATTTGTGTAAATAAAAAATTAGATTGTCCCTTGTTAGTAAATAGTATAACTTTTAAATCCCATTCAAAAAATTTAACCCCTCCTATATTTATACTACCCAAAACCTGACCTCCTGAATTTTATATAAATATAGTTAGCGGTTGATCACTTTGCCAAGGGTCTTTCTGTCTTAGTCTTATTCTTATCTCTAGGGATATTATTTGCATTACTTTCATAGATTCCATTATCAGCAGCATAGCCATAATGCAATATTGACCCCTGTGCTTTATACATTGTCATCTGCTTCAAGAAATTATATATCTCGACTTACACTTGGTAGAAACCCCTAAATATCTTTCTTTTCAACCATAAGGCATCAATATGGACTCAACCTGCAGCATCCCTACCCCTACCCCTATCCCCACAAAAACTCAAGTACCCCTTAAGCCTTTGTCCTTCACCAACGTGACATCCAAGAAGCACCACCAAGTGCACAACCACCAACCGCCGTCTGCGGCGGTGACTTACAAGGAATGCTTGAAGAACCACGCAGCCAGCATAGGTGGATACACCGTGGACGGTTGTGGTGAATTCATTCCATCGCCAGATGCCACTGTCGCTGATCCCACTTCGCTAAAATGCGATGTCTGTGGTTGCCACCGCAACTTCCACCGCCGAGAACCTGATGATGATTTTATGGACTTCCGCCACCATCATGCGCAAGTGGCGACGCCTGCTACGCCCACAGCACTAAAGCCAGAGAACCCAAGAAGAAGAAGACGGTTCAGGACAAAATTCAGCCAGGAACAGAAAGATAAGATGTATTCTTTCTCTGAAACGTTGGGTTGGAAATTGCAGAAATGTGATGAAGCTACGGTCGAGGAGTTTTGCAATGAAATAGGGGTTGATAAAGGAGTTTTCAGAGTTTGGATGCACAATAACAAGAGCACTTGGGGAAAAAAGGTTTTCCAAAATGCCAACAGTACCAGACCATACCCTACAACAACAACCAGTAAACCTTGACAATAGTACTATACTAGGTAGCATTGAAAATAATGGCTTCAACATCAAGTAATGGCTGCAGCAGCAAAATAATGACGGTCGTCGTTCCAATGAGAACACTAGTTTCCTTCATATTCCTTCAGCTTGCTTTATTTTGTAAGAAAAAGTTAGTTTCTTAATTCGTTTTTGTGATTTCAACGCTTGCAACTTTTAAATGTCCGTGCCCGTGAAGCCAAGTAATAAAATCAAAATTTTGTATTAACTTCAAGTTCGTCATTATTAGACTGACGTTAGAGGGGATAATAACTGAAGCTCTTCATTCACTTCCAAATACAATGATACAACAATATTTATAATACAGCACAGTAGTAGTATCTAGATGGAACCAACTACTATATGATAGCTACAAAGGAGTCCTAACTACTGGAGGCTGCTGGTGATCCTTATACGATAGGATATGTCCAATACCCCCCCCCCCCCCCCCCCGGCAAACCAAAGGTGGGTCTTTCACCTTGAGCTTGTCCCTTAGAAATTGGAATCCGGCAGTAGACAATGGCTTCGTGAGTACATCATCTACTTGATCTTTCGAAGAGAGCAACTGAATTAGTAAGTCACACGTCTAGCAACTTTGTCTCTTACAAAATGAAAGTCGATCTCTACATGCTTGCTACGAGAGTGAAAAATGGGATTAAAGGACAAGTGCGCAGAACCTATATTGTCGCACCAGAGAATAGGAGCACGAGAGAGCTGAATACCTAGCTCAAACATGAGTGATTGAGTTCAGCAGCAACGTCTGCGAATGCTTTGTACTCAGACTCCGTAGATGATCTAGCCACTGTCCGTTGTTTCTTTGAGGACCAGAAGATTAAGTTTGGACCAAAGCATATAGTATAACCACCAGTAGACTTGCGATCATCAATACTGCCAGCCCAGTCAGAATCAGTGAATGCCTGCAACTTAAGATTAAAAGCTTTTGAAATAAAAAATGCCATCAATTTAGTGAGCTGAAGATAACGAAGAATGCTCTTTACAGCAGCCCATTGATTTATCGATGGATGATGCATGTACTGGCACACTTTGTTCACCACAAAAGATATGTCGGTTCTTGTAAGGGTGAGATATTGAAGAGCACCAACAATCTGTTTATAAAGACTTGGGTCATTGAAGGCGGAGCTGTCACCTTATACAGCTTCACATTGGTTACCATATGAGTGCTGAGAGGTTTGCAATGAAGCATACCGGCCATGGTGAGGATGCCATGAATATACTGGGACTGGGAGAGCCAAATGCCAGTGTTGTCGCGATGCACCTGAACACTAAGAAAATAGTGAAGTGGGCCGAGGTCTCTTATGGAGAAGGCACTGCCAAGAGCTCGAACAAATGAATCAATGAAGGAGATGTTTTTTCCTGTGAGTACAATGTCATCTACATAAAACAAGAGGTAAGCAACGACATGTTGTAAAACCAACTGTGACAGAGAAACTGATGAAGCTTTTTGTACCAAGCCTTGGTGTTTGTTAAAACCATAAAGAGATTTGCGAAGCTAGCAAACATGAGTAGGGAATTGGGGATGAACAAAACCTAGGGGTTGATCCATGTAGACATCCTCTTGAAGCTCACCATGTAGAAATGCATTATGAACATCCAATTGACGCAATGGCCATCCATAAGTAGCTGCCAGCGATAGGATGATGCGGATGGTGGTGGGTTTAACAACGGGACAGAATGTTTCATGATAATCTTGGCCCTTAACCTGATGAAATCCTTTGGCAACTAAGTGAGCTTTATATCGTTCAATAGCTCCAACTGAGTTCCTTTTAATGCGAAAGACCCATTTGCACCCTAGAATGTTCATGGAGGAATTAAAAGGAACCAACGACCATGTTTGGTTTTTGAACGAGGCTGTCATCTCCGAAGACATAGCGTCATGCCATTCTTTAAACTTTGAGGCCTCTATGAAGTTGGTAGGCTCTGTGGAAGGAAGGGAAGAAGCGATAGTAGGATATGTGCAAGAAATATGAGTTGTGGGCTTACGTTTGGATGCTAGACGTAGTTGCATGGTGTGGGATAGTTCAGGTGAATTAACAACTTTTGATTTACGTTTAAGTGCAGATAGTGTAGTTGAAATGGGAGGTTGTGAGGAAGGTTGACTAGGCAAAGGGTACATAGATGAATCATCCGATAGAATAGAGGAGTCTATAGGAGCACGTGAATTAGGATTATCAACATGAGTTGCGTTAACATTGTTAGCAGGTGAATCATAACTTGGTGAGACAGAAGGTGAAGGTGAGGATGAGTTCAATACCTGAGAAGCTGGATGAGAAGAGGGTGTGCTTGTAACTGCTGGGAAGTTGACGCACGACAGGTAGGGTGAAGCAATCCAAAACTCGATTGGTGGAGAACCTGGTAAGGTGATAGGAGATGAAACCCATGGTTGCACATTTCTAGAAGGTGGTGGTCTAAGAATAGAATTCTTAGCAAAGGGAAATTGAGTTTCATCAAAACGAAAATGCCGTGCAATATATAATCTGCCAGAGCATGTATCAAGACATCGATAACCATGGTGTGATGGACTGTACCCTAAGAACAAACAAGGCAGACTCTTAAAATTCATCTTATGTCAATTATAGGGATGTAAGTATGGAAAACAAAGGCATCCAAACACTTTCAGGAAATGATAATCTGGTGAAGAGTGAAGTACGACTTCAAAGGGTGATCTCCCATTATTAGTAGACGTGGGAAGTCGATTAATCAAATAGACAACAGTATCAAAAGCAAAGTGCCAATACTTTGAAGGAGTGGAGCTATGTTCCATGAGACTTAATCCAGTTTCAACTATGTGTCTATGTTTGCGCTCAACCTTTCCTTGTTGTTCATGAGTGTGAGGGCATGAAAGATGATGGACTATGCCTAACTATGCACAAAGAGTCGACAAAGGGTGAAATTCACCACCCTAATCAGTTTGAATCGACTTAACTTTCGTGTTAAATTGCCTTTCAACAATAACATAAAATTGATTGAAAATAGATAAAACATTGTTAGTTTATATGAGCCCACCAACTGTATAGAGACCTGGTCCTATATCAGTTCCCACAGTGTTAACTACTGAACCAGTATGTAAATGAGACACATGATTTTTACGTGGAAAAATCCCAACACAAGGGGACAAAAACCACGACCTACACTAGTAGGCTTTCAACTTCACTAACTTGTAAACACACTATTACAAGCCACTTTGCAATGACTCTATTACAAAGACTTCAACTCAACTAATGTGATACACTTGCCACAAACCACTTTGTCACTCACTAGTTACAAAGACTTTAACTCAACTAACTTGTGATACACTTACCACAAGCCACTTTGTCACTCACTAGTTACGAAGACTTTAACTCAACTAACTTGTGATACACTTACCACAAGCCACTTTGTCACTCACTAGTTACAAAGACTTTAACATATGACCAACTCTAGTCACAACACAAACTTAGAAGGTTTATGATTTTGAGTTTCCTAAAAAAAAGCTTCTAATAAAGAAAGATAGGAGTTACAATGAAGAACAAATAACAAAGACTCAACAAACCTAAGGACCTAAGATATCTTCAATCTTTGGATCTGGTCCTTGAGGCTGCAGCAGCTTTTATTCTTGAGAGAGAGGTTGTGGCTAGCACTTCAAAGAATATCACTGGAAAATGCTCAAGTCAATATCTTGTGCCTTACACCATGTTGTTGTACTCCCAAAGACATCCCAAGGATGACGTCAATTCTTGGTTGGTACATGCCTCTTCCCAATGGGAGGTGACTGCTGCACTGTTGCAGGCAGTCACTTTCTGCAGTTGCTTTCTAGCTGTATAGTTGACTTATACTTCTATCAGGGGAACACCAAGGGATCAGGTCCCTAATCTGGTTCTTGTGAATCTAAAGGCACACTGCCCAGATTATCTTGAGTTGATTAACTTGAATGATTGTACCAGGCATGCTTCAAGTCCTTTATCTAGTTCAATACAGAAAGTTTGTTAGATCATCAAAACATAGATTAAAAGACCATAAGCCCATCAATTTCCCCCTTTTTGATAATGAAAAACTTTTAATATTAATGACTATTTGACTTAACCAGATAAGGTACCAACAACCACATATGTTCCCCCTGACTCTATGCTTCCCCCTTAATTACTTGCTACAATTTCAATTTAAGCGATTTTTCCCCCTTTTGGCATCAACAAAACACAGTCAGACAAAACGACATAAAGAAGTCTAACACAGCTAACTCATACCACATATGTGCACACAACATGATAGAAAAGAGAAGCAAAAAGGAAAACAAGCATTGTACAAGCAAAAGAAGAGCTGTTTCATTGATAAGAAATTGGACTGTTTCAACAGGAGCAGCAACGGCGAAATCCAACATGCCATAAAAAACAAATAAAATAAAACAACAGCCACAAACATCAAAACAAGAGATAACTGGTCACTGAGAGGATCCTAGGGGGCACTAGAAGAGGAAGGCTTGGAGGAGGAGGCAGCAATGGTTTTGAGAACTAGGTCTATGCGAGCATTTGCAGATAGCTGTTCCTCAAGCAGTTTCTCCCGCAGGTTCTCCACCTGTTGCCTAAGTCCAGAACTTGTCTCATACCTGCCATCTCCGAGATTGCCGGGTCAAACATGCGACCCCACAAGACTTTCTGAGTTCTCAATCTCTTCTGCCCAAGGCCACTGTTACTTGGAATGGTCTTCATCGAACCAGGTCCTCCCACAGTTTCCCGCTTTCATTTTCTAGACATTTCTACAGACTTCCCATTCCTGCTTGCAACAGCCAGAGTATCACCTTCAGACAAATCTTTCTCAACCACAACCTTCTTAGATTTACCACCACTCTTCACAGATGTTCCACTTTGTTTTTCCATAGCTTCCTCTGAAGCCTCCAGCACAGACTTCTGGACTTTTGTAGATTCACTAAGGAACTAGGTTCCTCCACTGCATCTTCATCAACCTCAACCACTGGAATATGTTTGTCAGCCACAACTTCCCACTATTTCATCAACCTCTTCTTCTTCTTCTTCTTCTTCTTCTTCTTCTTCTTCTTAATACTCTGCTTACTCTTCTGCAAGGAAGACTCAAAAGCCTCTTTCTTCTGCAACCTCCTGGTTTGTTTCAGCTGAAAGAGAATTAGGTTCTCCAACAGGTTTTTCTGTGACGATGTCATGAACCGGAGACTTGAAAAGCACCAGAGTCCTTTCATCCCCTAAGAATGGAGTTTCTTCCCCCTGAGATTCAGGCAGAGGGGAGGCTCCTTCATTCATAACACTCTCAGCAGCGATAGCCATGATATTTTGTGCCGCTTCCTTTTCTGGTGATGCTGTGGGAGCCAGTTAGTCTAGAACGGAGGAGTTCAAGTACTGATCGAGATCATCCTCAGAGACCTTTGACGCCTGAGGAGTAGCACTTTTGGTGCGTTTAGTAAAAGGAGGAGAAGTAGGGTTTGCAACACATGGAAGTAAGACAGGGTTTGACGGAGGAGTAGAGGTGACTGGAGATGAAGAGGAAACCGGTATGGGTACAGTAGTATCAGGGATAGTGAAGAAGTGGGCTTCTGGTGGTGGTGTTAAGGGAAGTAGAGATGTGGGAGTGGTGTTG